GGAGGCGGAGGCAGGCGGGGGAAGGATGGAGGGAGGAGCACTCCAGTGATGCTTCATGCTCACAGCTCCAGCCCTCCCGAGAGCCCAACCTGGCGAGCCCTTTCCTCTGCCTCCACCGTTCCCGGCTGTCGGTGGTGAAGGATGCTCGGAGCATCGCTTGCTTCCGCGACGTGCTGACAGCGGGGACCCCGCCGGGAGCGGGCTGCCGTCCTGCCGGGCCTGACTCCGTGTCGCCGGGCCAGCAGGGCTCTGCAGAAGCATGAAGAAGATCTGGGTGAAGAAGCGTTTCCAGGTAAGGGCTCCAGGCTGCCGTGCCGGCGGGTGCCGGGAGAAGGGGGCAGTGCCGAGAGCGGCTGGGGATGGGAATGGATGCTGATGGAGACGGGAATGGGGATGTGAATAAGGATGGGGATGGGAGTGTCCCTCCAGCCCTTCCGTTGCCCCCTGGGGCTCCCCAGGGCTTCGCACAGCACCAGCTTCAGCCCCGCTTGCAGAGCTGGGTGCCAGCTGCTTGCCTGGCCTCACCAGCCCGGGCAGGAGGGGCAGAGGGCAGGGGCTCAGCACCTCCTGTGCCAACACCCGGACTAGGACCCCCGCCGGGGCTTTCCCCACGCCCCTCTCTTCCCTCTCTGCCCTCTGGAGTCGGGGCAGCAAATGGAGGCTGCTCCACGGCTCCCCCCAGCCCCACTGGCGGTGGTCACGGAGCTGGAGACGAGGCTTTGCATGCGTCATCCCCTCCGCGTCAGGAGCATGCCTGGCACAGGCAAGGCTCCTTCGCGGGCCCGCCGCACGCTCCGCTGCCGAGCAAGGAACAAGGACGTCACTTGGCCTCGGCGGGGGATGGAGGATGGGGAACATACTTCCAGGAAGCCCCCCGCCCCCAATTCCCCCGGGCACACAAGCCCGATGCCTCCCCGCTGTCGCCCTGCCTGGTGGCCCAGAAGGGACTGGGAAGAGGCTGTCGCACGCAGCACCTTCCCAGGGGTGGAAGATGCGCGACGGGACAGGTCCCCAGGGAGAGAAGGTGCAGAGGGTCCCCCTGGGGCAGGATGGTACGCACAGCCCGACTGCCCCATCTGCATTTGGGAACAACAAGTCCAGGAGCTTGTCTGTGTGGCAGAGCAGGGTCCTTCACTGCTGGCTGAGCACGGGAGGGGTATCAGAACAGCCACAGCAGTTGTCTGTCTGCACCAGGCAAGTCACTCGCTCCCTCCCCACCTCATTCCATCACTGCTCCCTGTCTGCCTGTCTCACACAATAGGCAGCAGTGCCATGTGGTGCTGGGCTCCACGTGCTAGGTGGTGGCAAGCTCCACGGTCCCAGGTGATCCTTCACTTCCCCTAGGCCCCATGGCCACGGTGAGCGATGCCACATGCTTGGGCCAGTGCAGGACCCCAGCCTGGGCAGGTGGATCTATGCCTGGCACAGGGGTAGGAAGGAAACAACTCCAGGTGTCACCCAGCTACATTGCAGTGCAGGGTTGAAGCTGGGTGTGGGTCCCAGCCAGCTCTTCTCTCTACTCCAGGCTGGGTAGGCACAGACTGTGCTCCTGGGGTACTCCACCCCTTTTCCCAAGATGCAAATGAAATTCCACACAGGAGAATTACCCCCACTCTCTGTCTATCCCCTTCATGCAGACTCCGACCCCACACCAAGCCCTAAGCTGCTCCTGCCCCCTTTCCATCTCCTGTCCTGGGGCTGACTCTGCATCCCCCAGCACTTGTTCCCTAGTGGGCTGCAGGTGGGTGCTGTGCTTGAGGCAGGTCCAGTCTGCAGGGTGCCCTGATCCTACAAGGTGCCCTGACCCCTCGGTGTGCCCCGATCCTGTAGGGACCTGTTGAGGGGTGAAGGGGAGGGGGCTCAGCCCCTCTGTAGCTCTGGGCAGTGGAGCCCAGGCCCACTGGGTGCAGTCACCATATCTGATGGGGAGCCGATGGCGCCTGTCCCCAGGGAAGCCACAAGAGTACCCGATAATGGCACTCAATTGCATTTTCATTTTTTAATGGGGGAATTATCCGCCGATGGTGCAGTTAATCACTCATCTTTCCCTGTCCTGGAAGACGGGCTTCCAGCCAGAGCCAGCACAGTCAGCCGAGAAGGGGAGGTGAAGCCTGGCTCAGCCTGAATACAAATGTGTCTCGTGCAGCCGCTGCCCTCTGGCCAGCACTGCATGCAGGCAGGGGGTTGTGGGAACCCCTGAGCGCTGCCCATGTGCAGGCAGCACACCTGCAGTGGCAGCAGCTTCGGGCTTTGTGAAATGAGCCTGCTGCCCTTCAAGGGCAACTAACTGCTCGCCATGCTTGGCTGTCCATCCCTGGTGGCTGGCTGTCCCTGGGGTCTGGATCTCCGTGACCTGCTTGGGCAGGAGGGGCTGGTGGAGTGAAGGGCTTCAGGACAGATGTGTGTCCAGCCCTGGGCTCCACACTGGGGAGACAGGGCATGGACCATCAGTGTCCTGGGGAGACCCTGTCACCCAGACTGGCTGGGAAGGATGCTGAGTCCTGGCAGCCCAGCCCTGCCTGTCTGCACTCCACATTCCCACTTCTGCCTGACTCGGAGATCACCCCGTCCCTCTGCTTTCCTGGGATATGGCGTCAGTGCACACTGGGTCTGGCAGACAGGCTGCCCTCAGCTGGTCCTTTCCCTGGCACACAAGTGCCCGGCCCTGGGCTGCAGCACAGAGGGCAGCCAAGTTGGCAGGGACCTCTTGGTGCCTCCACCCCATGCTCGGGTCCCACCTGCCTGCCCAGACAGCACGAGTGAGCGCAGCTCTGATGTCTCCAACCCCACACCAACAGGCCAGTCCCCTGCTGCCAGGCAGCCTCTCTCTCAACTGGCATGGCCTCTACAGGGGATGGAGGATGCTGTCCCCATGCTGGGACGGCGGCCATGGTGGAGTCTGGGCCAGTGCCTGGAAGACATTTTGCTGGCCAAATCCCCATGCTGGCTGGGTGGCATTGAAGGGGCTGCAGAGCACTTGGGCAGCAGCCCAGGCAAAGACTTTGCTGCAGGCTATGCCAGCTACAGGCAACAGTTCTGAGGCTTCTGGGATGCTCCGGACTGTCACTCCTGAGCTTGGGCTGCAGCACAGGGCTGGGGTTCACAGTGCCATCACCAAGGGGACTCCGTGTGCGCGCGTGCGCACAGGTGTGTGTGAGTGTGCGTGGCTGGGCATGCGCTACACGTGCCCACCTACACCCATCCATCTCTGTGTGCACGGGGGCGTGTGCCTGTGGGTACCCGTGGGTGTGCAGCGAGGGTGCATGTGAGCGGTGGCAGGTGTGCCCTGCCAGTGGGAGGGCGTGAGTGGTACGACGTGTGTCGTGCCAGAGTGCGTGTGAGCAGTTGTGGGTGTGAGCGGTGCTGCGTGTGCAGTGTGTGTGCGTGCGAGGCGCGGCAGCGGAGCGTGTCTGTGGCAGGACGGGTCCATGCTGTGCCATGGGTAACGCTCTGTTCTCTTTTCCTTTGCAGAAGACCGGCCACTCGCGGCGCTTCGGGCGCTTCACGCATGGTGCGTTGAGTTACCAGGACCCGACTCCCCCCCGCCGCCCCAAGTGTGCCGGGATGGGCTCCACCACTGTGCTGCAAGGGGCAGCGAGCAGAGGCTGGGCAGGGCTGGATTGATCTTGCCAGCCACAAAACAGGGTCCCAGTCAGCCAGGAGCTCACAGCGTTCCCCATGAAGCTGGCCTGCTCCCGGCCTTGCAGCTCTACTTGCTCAAGGGCTACCGGACTGTTGTGGCCAGGATTGGGAATCTGATGCACTAGCAGTGCATGGAGCAGCTGGTTGTGTGCTGGGCTGCAGAGGGGTAGCCCCCCACACACCTTAAGAGTGCAATGGAGAGGAGCAGTGATGGGGCTGGGGACATGTTCCTCACTGCAGGGGTTGCTGCTGCAGCTTGTGAGGGCTTGGGCAGTGGCAAGGAGGAAAGTCAGTCCTTCCCTGGTGGCATGGCACTAGCTTTCCTGGAGTGGGACATTAGGGTGATGCTGAAATGGCCTTGCCACATCCTGCCCGGTGCGGGGCAGCTCTTAGTGATGCCCTGTCCTGAGAATGTTGGCTTTATCAACCTCAGCTGTGCTGTGGAGCACAGCTGTATTGTACAGCACTTGCACTGGTGGGGCAGAGGATGGATTTGTACGTGCCAGGGGGAGGCTGTGAGCACATGGACATGTGTCCATGTGCTCCAGCACCCCCAGGAGCACCCAGCTGGGGCACAGACTGGGGTGGTCCAGCCCCAGGCTGAGATGCACTGTGGAGCACAGAGTGATGTGTGGATACTGCAGCGGTGAGATCAGCAGCTCCAGGGATAGGGGGTGGCTGTCCTGCTGGGCAAGATGTGGCTGTGGCACAGGGAGGGAATGGTGCTGTGCACTGCACAGGTGGGACCGTGTGTGTGAGGAGAGGGTCTGTGTGCAGCACTGGAGTGGTGTGCAGTGAATGTGGTGCAGAGTGGAGACATGGTGGGGAAGTGCTGGGGACAAGGGACCCCCCTGCTGCCCCCCGCGTCTCCGCAGGCCGGGCCGATAACCGGGTGTTGATGTCTCTCTCTCTCTTGCTGCCCCTATGGAAGCGAAGTTTTCCGCTCCTGCAGGAAACAAAGCTACGGTAGGAAGACCTCTTCCCAATGCCATCTCTGTCCCCATAGTGGACCCTGTTTCCCAGCCTGCCACCCTGCTCTGTCACTTCCACTGTCTCCTTGCCCTGCTTTTTTGTCCCCATGCTGTCTCTGCCAGCTGCATTCCCACTGCTGGCACTGCCTCCCTTCCTCCCGTCATCTAACACTGTTCCTGCCCGCCCTTGCCCTGCTGGACTTTCCTACTCTCAGTCCTGCCTTTCCCTACTGGCAGCTTGTCCCTGCAGGTCACAGTCATGCCTCCTGCCCTGGGGCTGCTTGGGCACTGCTCTCATGCTCCTGGAGCCAATGGGTCTGCAACCGGCAGTACCAGTGTGGTCTGCTGTCTCTGTACACTCACTCCCTACTCTTCCCTCCCACTCAGACTCGGAGACAGGTGAAGATGAATCCAGCGACCCCCAGGTGACACAGCGCAGTGATCTCCAGGATGAGACAGCCTTCAGCACCCCCACGGGTGAGCAGGGACACCTGGCTGGCACTGAGCCCTGACACTGGCTGCTGGCCATGCCTCCCCACAAGGCCTCTGCTGGCCAGGCTTTGGGTGCCTGAGCTTGTCCCCTCAAGCACCCAGTCTTGGCTCATCCCTCTTCTCTCAGGTGGGTCTGACACCCTTGTGGATGCCTCCATGAACACAACACCAACCTCGGTGCTGGCCCTGTCACAGGCAGAGGAGCGCTCCAGCTGGTCAGGCAGCCAGCAGACCGTGGTGGAGAAGGAGACGGACGCCAGCCTCTCTGCACGGGGACCTTACCTCCGTCCTGCTGCCTGGCCGCAGCCGCAGGGAACCCCAAGGCAAGCAAACACGCCGGCCCCACGTGGCGCCGAGGTGCGGCACCTGGGCGTGGAGCCGTTGGTGCGGGCATCACGGGCTAATCTGGTGGGCACGAGCTGGGGGTCAGAGGATAGCCTTTCGGTGGCCAGCGACCCGTACGGCAGCGCCTTCAGCCTGTACCGAGGACGGGCGCTCTCACTCCATGTGTAAGTAGCCAGGGGAAGCACACAGAGGGGACATTGCGCTGGGGCCATCTCCTTCCAACTCCTGCAGCCATCTCCTTCCCTCCACCTGGGCTTTTTTTTGCCTTCACCTTCCTAGATGAGGAGTGGGGACTCTGAGCAGTAGGCAGCCTGTTCTTGGTGAGAAGGTGGGAGCAACACAGTCTGGGGGTGATGTAGCGGGGTCCCTTTCTGCTGTGGCCAGGTTGAGGCTGGGGGTATCCCCTGTGCCACTGCTTGAACTGCAGTACCTCAGCCGCAGATTATGCCGTGGGTATTTTCCCGTTCCACCCCTCTGCGCATCCCGCAGTGTGGGGAACCGGAGGTGCACAGTAGCCTGGGACACACACTAACAAGTGTCTGCCCACGGTACAGGGGTGGCAGCAGGGTCCAGGGACATGCTGCCTCCTCAGATCCTGATGTGCTCAGAGCCCCCGTCCCTCCCTGCCACCTTTGGTTCCTGAAGGCCTCTTCCTTTGACCTCCATCTTGCTCTATTTTTGTTTAAGGCTGCTTGTTCCACCAGAACCTCATCTCCACCTTATGATTTCTGCTCTGCGTTTGCTGAGCCCCTCTGGGGGCAGTGGGATAGGAAGATGTACAGCATGTGTACAGGCAGGGCTTGCAGCCTTGGGGATACCCTCTGGCAAGGCTACACTGCCTCAGCACACCAGGACACCCCAGCAAACTGGGGCACCCCCCAGCCTCTGGTCCTGTCTGCATGGTGGCCTGGGGAGGGACTCACTGAGTACTCCAGCATCACCCTTCTGTTCCATGGACAAGGGGTCCCAGCAGCCCAGGACTCTCACCTAACCCAGCCAGCTCCCAATGGTCTTGGGGTGACCAGATACCCTTGCTGGGACCCTTGAGTCTCCCCAGTCACAAGGCTGCCCTGACTGTTTGACCCCCTTGCTATGCCCCATTGGGCACTGTGGTGCAGGCTGGAAGCTGGGGTGCAGCCGAGCAGGTACAAGGGTGGTCTCTAAGCCAGGCTCCTCTGTCTCTGCCCTTGCAGCAGCATCCCCCAGGGAGGCTACCGGAGAGATGACCTTCACAGAGGCCCTGTCTCTCCAAAGCCTGGTGCAGAGCCCCCAAGATCCCCCGCTGCCCTGCCGCTGACCGCCAAGCCACCCATCGTCCGCTCGCCATCTCCTCGTGCTGGCACATGCCTGCAGCCACCCACGGGCATCGTGTCCCAGCCTGCTGCCCGTGGCCCTGGCGTCCCCTCCTTCACACCCGTGACCCCTCGCAAGAAGTCCTCGGTCCCGGTAGAGTATCAGGACGTTGTTCCTGAGGAGTACGAGGAGAAGATCAAGAAGCCCAAGTCCTCTGGGTACTCACAGGGCAGCACACAAGAGTCCCGTCCGCAGACACCCATGAGTGACACCTCTGGCCGCATCTCCGTTCGGGCATCCCCCAAGCTGGTGCGTGCTGGCTCCAGAATCTTTGAGAGGCTGCAGTACTTTGAGGAGCGGCAGAGGAGCCTGGAGCAGGACAGTCCCTTTCCCGCACGCTCCAACCTGCCCCTGCGCAAGACGCGCTCCTTCGACCAGCCTGGCACTGGCTCGCGCCGTGCCAGCACTCCGGGTGGCTCACGGGAGGACCTGCGGGAAGGTGGCCGCTGGGAGCCGGGCAGCACGGCAGCGTGCCGGCGTTTGGCCTTCCGGCAGAAAGCCGCATCCTTTGACGAGCGGGGCAAGTTCGCCAACCGCGTCTATGCCATCGAGCACAAGTTTGCAGAGGAGCTGACCCGCATCAAGCGGACAGTCTCCAAGCAGCAGCTGCGGCGCTCCCAGGAGCTGTGCAAAGCCGGGTTGCCTCCGGCACCCTCACCCCCAGCGACCAGCGAGCCTCCTGCACCCCGTGCCCCCCGCACCTCTTCCTCTCAGGGCGCCGGCGGACGCAAGGCACTGCCACCCAAGACCTGCCCGCCGGCAGAGAGCACACACGTCATCCAGCACCTGGCACTTTCCAGCGTGGTGTTGGTGGGACCTGATGGGGAGCCACTGCCAGGGGGGCAGCGTGGGAAGAGAGCCCCATTGGGGGGGGGTGGTGTGGCTGGACTGCCCAGCTCAGCGGAGGATGCAGGTGCCAGGAGGAGTCTGCAGCAAGAAGGCATTGGGGAAGTGAAGAAGAAGGAGCAGTGGCCGTTGGCACAAGCCAGCCCGCAGGGAAGGGTGCCCCTCTCGCAGGCGGGTCCCGCCGAAGGCAGCCCGTACCCAGATGGAGGCCCTGCCCGTGGCCCTGGGGCAGTGAGTGAAACCCTGGCTGCCCGACTGGCTGTGCCCCACGGACTGTACCGGCGGCCAGAGACGCCCACAGAAGTGCGGTTCCTGCCTTGGGCAAAGCCAGGGATGGAGCAGGAAGCTCGTCTGGAACGAAGCTGGGCAGGACAGCATGGTGTGGGCAGGGAGGTGGAGAGAAGGCAGATGAAAGTGTCAGAGAAGAAAGAGAGTGGCCGGATGGCTCAAGAAGGCAGGAGCACACGGAGCAAGGGGAAGGGACGCCGAGCCAGGCCCACCTCTCCAGAGCTAGGTAGGGCCATGGCTTTCTGCCCTCCTGCAGGCACAGAGCTGGCCTGGCCACCCCCTGGGTGGGTTGGGGGACCTCCAGCCTGCCCCTGGGAGGTGTGGGGAGCCCAGGGGTGGAGTGGAGGGATGTGGCTCAGGAGGCTGGGGTATGGCACCAAAAAATGCCATAAGACAGACCAGCCTGGCTGCCAGTTTGCTGGGCCTTGAGGTTACAACGCTTGCTATCTTCTCCATCTTCTCGCTGCTCTCGCTTGGCACAGAAAAGATACAGCGGGCTGACTTGTAGCATAGACCCCTGGCCTGGGGCAAAGGGCACCCACTGCAACTTGTCCTGTCTGGGCCATGCTTGATAGTCCAGGCAGGGCATGCCCAAGCTTCCCCAGGGGAAGATGGCTTGGCTGGGGGAGAGGTGTCCTGCCCGTTCCAGCATGGAGCAGATAGACCAGACTATACCTGGGCTGGGAGCTTCTTCTAGGCTCTGCTCTAGCCAGAGAAGTGCCAGGTCCATGTGTCTGAGGCTCCTGGCACAGCCCCAGGACTTTTGACCAGGTGCTGGGGCCATGAGAGGGGAGGGACCTGGGAGGTGCTTGCTGATGTATTGGGGTGCAGCAGCTAGCATCCCATGAGGGACTGGGGGAAGTTCAGGGCAGGGGGTGCAGCAGGCTATACAACCCTCCTTCTTCCACACTCCCCTGTCACCTCATCTCTTATCCCCTACGGGGATGTGCCACAAGCTGCATGCTACCTGTCCCCCGTCTTGTTCCCACTGCCTGCTCTGTGCCATGTGGATCCTGATGTGGCCTTTTTGTCCACTGCATGGCCCAAGTACCTGCTGATGCCCCAGCGAGGGTGTGGTTGACCAGTGGGTTGGGAGACCCATGCTCTGCCTGCATGCAGCCCAGCATGGCACAGGAACCACTCACGTCACCCTGCTGACAGCCATGGGGTCCATCTCTTCCTGTGCAGAGTCCTCAGATGACTCCTATGTGTCAGCGGGTGAAGACCCCCTGGAAGCCCCCATCTTTGAGATCCCCATCCAGGACATGACAGTGGTCGTGGGGGCAGAGGTGCTGCTCAAGTGCATTGTCACAGCCAACCCCCAGCCAGAAGGTGAGCCGCCGTGGTGTTGGGCGATAGGGGCACGAGCATGGCAGAGGGACTCTCCGCATGTCCGTGTCATACCTGCGCGGTGTGGGACACCCAGCGCTGAGCTGGGTATCTCAGGGGAGGTGATGTGCCCGCCCTGGGAGCACCCCTTCTGCCCTTCCTCCCCTCAGAAAGGAACGAAGTGCTTGAGCACTGCGTGCCAGGATGTGGTGCAGAAAGCCGGGTGCCTGCTGTCCCCCAGGGCTGGGCTGGGCTGTTGGGAAAGTGGGAGAAGGGCCACTGAGCCCTACGCGGGCAGGGACTGGTGATGCAACCCGATCTAGTGGGTGGCGCCCCTGCCCATGGCGGAGGAGGTGTTGCTGGAACTAGACGATCATCAGGGTGCCTTCCAACCCAAACCATTCTATGATTCTCTGATGCTCTGGGCTGCTGTTGGGACAGCTCAGGTGGTTTTAGGGCTGATGGACTCCAGGACTCCAAGACGTACGCGGGGGCAGCCGGGTATCCAGCGCCGGTGCCAGTCGCCAAAGCCAGGCAGAAGCCAAGCAGCTTTAATTCCCTCTTCCAGCCTCCACTGGAGGGCAGGAGGATGTTCGGAAGCAGATAGGGGCCAGGCCCGGTCTCTCTGTCAGAGGGCCGAGGGATCCCGGGGCTGCTCCCCATAGCAAATGGGTCCTCAGGCCAGGCAAAGGAGCGCCTGGCCTCCCCGGGACCCTGCGCGGTGCCCGGGAAAGCTCGGACTCTCCTGCCCACGCGTGACCCCCGCCTCTGCCGGCAGTGTCCTGGAGGAAGGACGG